CAAAGAAAGTACATGTGCAGACAACATGAAACTTTAGACTGCAGAAAATTGCACAATCCGTTATCAAACTCGTGTCACAGAAGTGGTATTAAAAAGGATATGTGTGACAACTGAATGGTATCCTTTTGTAAAGGTTTTGGCCAGGGGTGGGTATTTATTTTTTAATTGATATTCGAGGTTGGGTAATCAAATTTTTGACTTTTTAATGGTTGGGTCAGCAAATTTTTTGCCAGGAAAAACATTTCTCTTCGGTGCCACCCCCCACCATAAATAATGACCCGTCCCTAATAACTTTTATATACCAGTAGTTAGAATCCTACCATTTCGGCAACGTGTTTGTTCCACCATAGAGAGCACAACCAGTAGTGACATGAATGAGTCGAAATACAGTCTTGACCGTCTTCACGAGATCGCCTTCTTTACCATTGATGATCTGAATTTGCCAGTAATCATTGCTATCTCCTTCGCCATTCTACACAAAATGAAATTATTTCTGATATACATTTTTTTATGTTTTACAGTTTCTCCACACTGGTACACATGGGTGTGAACAGTACCTTCACAAGCATTTTAAAAGCAAATTACCTATATGCAGGCCCGTTTGCACTTTTCCTACGATTTCAAGTGGGGCCTTGCCCCCCCCCCCCAATTTTTTCAAAGGGCTAAAAGTGCCCTTTTTTGTGATGAAAAGTGCCCTTTTTTGTGATGAAAAGTGCCCTTTTTTGTGATGAAAAGTGCCCTTTTTTGTGATGAAAAGTGCCCTTTTTTGTGATGAAAAGTGCCCTTTTTTGTGATGAAAAGTGCCCTTTTTGTACAAGCTAATACGCTGTAAATACTAAGTTAACATCAAAGGTGCCATTTTTGTTTGGAAATTTCCAAGTTTTTAAAAAAAAATTGGTCAAAAACGTGCAATTTCGGTATTGCACGACGGGAAAATTTTTCTTCTCCCCCCCCCGTCGCCAACATTTCCAGGAAAAATTTTTAGGTGCCCTTTTCAATACCCTAAAGTGCCCCTAGAAGCTGGTGCCCCCCAATATTTTGATGCTTCCTACGCCCCTGAGTATGTGTACCCCACTGGTGTACCCTCATCTCGGAACATTCATAACTCATCCACTCGTTCACATCCGTCAGAAGAAAATCGCAGCCTCGCACCTAATAGCGCCAGAGCATTCCCGTGAGATGATATGACTCTGGGAACGAGCACACGATGCTAAACATGACAACTTACTTCGCCATAACACGCAACTTGATAATGATGTTGCGTGATTGGTGCCTTTTGTGGATGACTGTGTAGGTTTCTCTTCGTTCTAGAACGTTCGGGAGAAAAGAATTAAAAATTATACATATTCCCATATCATATCAGTATGCATAAATTCCTACAGCACTACATAAATTCCTGAGATTGCATACCTCGGCCAGCGAATTAACTATGCATCATGCATTCATGGCAAGATCATAACATATAGGTAATATAGGTAAAATATTTACTTACGGAAGATGTTCCAGTCGTATAACGTCACCGTGTTTTACGTATTCTACAGGGCTGTTTGGATCTGATGGGAAAAAATACAAATTTTTGGGAGGTTCTCTCGAAACGGCGAAAAGATACCTTTCAAACCTCCATAGGTAGTTCAGACATTTGAGGTGAGGGGAGGTGCGGAACTTCGCTGAGACCATTTTGTACACCCCCTCCTCATTGACACATATTATGTATATAAATTATTCATATTATTCACCTCCCCAGGAGGGTGAGGGGGGATGGTGGGGGAGGGATGGGGGATGGGAAAGGGGAGAGAGGGAAGGATGGGGCCAAGACCTCTCCTATAATTTTCCCACTTCTCCCAGGATTTACACCAAATCTGGCCTTGTAATTCAGACAGCACCCATGAGAACTTACTATAAGGTTCTGTAGATTTCTTGACGAGCCAGTCGTTGTTTGGATCTTTATGTGAATATCCAGTGACTTGCTGTTGTGCAGGAGGATGTTCTTCAGGGTATAGATGATGATGAGAGTGGAGTAAGGCGCCTCCTGGACGATTGTTTTTTAAGGTCACAACTGAGCCATAAGCTAAATCTAAGAACAAAATTATAAACAGAATAATGGTCTGATTTATATATCGAGGTTAGTCCGTCTACATGCATCACTCTTCTGAAAAATAATATAGTTGGGTTTTTTTTTGTGCTGGTGTTGTGTACTCAGGTGAATAATATGTTTGCGATGTTACTCTGAGTGCATATCCACACCGGGCGAGCCCGAAAAATATGCTCGGCCACGGCGGGATTCGAACCCACGACCCCTGGAACACCAGCCCAATGCTCTTCGAACTGAGCTACGCGGTCAGGACGGTTCGAGTAAGTGATATTTCGAAACAGTATCTAATTCCTTCAATACCAATGTGTTCTATTAATATGAATTTTTTGTGCTGGTGTTGTGTACTCAGGTGAATAATATGTTTGCGATGTTACTCTGAGTGCATATCCACACCGGGCGAGCCCGAAAAATATGCCCGGCCACTGCGGGATTCGAACCCACGACCCCTGGAACACCAGCCCAGTTGGAAGAGCATTGGGCTGGTGTTCCAGGGGTCGTGGGTTCGAATCCCGCCGGGGCCGGGCATATTTTTCGGGCTCGCCCGGTGTGGATATGCACTCAGAGTAACATCGCAAACATAATATAGTTGGTTGTAATCCACGGTACTTACGTTCTGGTAGTGATGTCTTAAATAATTCATTTCCTTTCAACGTCGATTGAAAAGCTGAGCTGAAAAATCCATCACCTGGGCCACTGTGGGAGAGAATAGCCGGTCATGAATATGTACTAAGTAACACGCCAAAATGTTAACAAGGCCTATTTGCACTACACAACTTTTGTCTAAAACTGTACTGTGCAAATCAAGCACACAACTCGCCCACGTTGTCGTAGGTGAGTTGCATGCCTGATTCACACAGTACAACTCAAGTTGTAAGCAGGTTGCATGCGACAGTTTTAGGCAAAAGTTGTGCATAGTGTAAATCAGCCTGTAATCGGCCCAAATCGGGTGTTTGGGTATCAATTTCCCGTTTGCAATCTAAAATGACTGAAAATTGTAAACTTCGCAGGGCTATATTATCCGCATTTTACAACATTTCGTAACGAAACTTCGGAATATTACTAATTTTGTGATGCTCTTTCAAGCTGTGATGAAATTTTTGTCTAGATCAAAATTTTAGTTATAAGGTTAAAGGTCCATTGCAAGTCCTAATAAAGGAAGTTTCTAGTAGAAGAGACCTCTACGAAGCCAATTTGCTAAGTATCACTTCTCACGGCTTGAAACGCTGGCGTTGTATACAATTAGACATAAAAATCTTCGGTTTGCAGTGTTGAAAATAGAACGCGGACGACGCCTGAAACTCCGGGGGATTTATTAATAATTTCTTTTTTACACTTGCATGAATTGATGAATTTCTTATTGTTAATAGTCATCGCCGTCTTGCTCCCTATTATCGCTAGCTAAAGGTCCCTGTGATCCGATGAAGACCTGCAAACTGGAAGCACTCTTCTCTCATGCGAATTAGCCAAAATTATAATCAGTAGATCAGACACCTGCTGCACAGCACAGGAATCAAAACCTGATTGGATATACACTCTTAAAAATCTCAAAGCTAGTCAACAAGATGTGTTCGCACTGCTTGTTCCCAGTTGTTATCATCTTGTAACAAGGTTGATGAGGCCAACAGACTCGCAACAAGTCTGATATCGATTATTTCCAACAAGTCTGATATCGTCTGCACGTAACAAGTTGATGGAAGAACTTGTGGCAAGTCTGTTATACCGTCATCAACCTTGTGACAAAGTGAGAACAAGTTGTTCCAGATTTGTCACAACAACTAGGAACAAACAATGCGAAACACATCCTGGTGTCGTCTTGGACAACAACCTTGTTACAACTTGTTTGCCGGTTTGTAACAAGGCACATCAATGCAATAGTCATCACCAAGCACTCTCTATATGATTAAAGAATCTGGCATCATTTACCTTGCTTTTAAGACAGCAAAATGAACGGCGAACCAAAACAGATAGACAAGAACTGGAAGAAGAATCAGACACAAAGCTCTCGCCATGAAGTGCTTCGCCACGGTCACCAGGGATACGCCAAGATCACCAAGCATGTTCCAGAGATCAGCGACTGTAGCAAAACCTGCCCATAATATGACGAACAATCCGACCCATTTACAACTAAAATTTGGAGAGAAAAAATATGCTGTTGAACGCAGTACTGAAAATTCTCTAAAACAATGTTAATTTTGCTGGGATTAATACTGTACAAGTATTTTAATCTACTACCTAACTACCTTTTTTCGGAAGAAAATTTAGTTTTAGCAGGAGAACACTACCCACTTCCAAACATAGACGGATTTTCTGGGGGTGCAGAAACAAACAATATTCTGCACTCCCCAGAAAGTTTTTCCACCCCCCAGAAATTTAAATGCTCGTTGGATTAAATGACAGTTGTGTGATTGAAAGAAGGATTTTGAACTAAGTACGACTAAAAACAAGAATTTTGAGCTAAATAAGACCAAAAATCTCAACTTTCCTGCGATTCGCCCCCTTACCTCCATTAGCAACTGTGCCACAGGCCCCCTGATGCAGTTTGTTTGGCTGTACTATACACCCCATCGCTCAACTCCCCCCTAACTTTTCGGCAGTTTTGAGTGAGTAAAAGGTTGGGTAAATGAAAAACAAAACAACTGAAGGGTTGAGTAATAAAATTTATTGTCATTTCCAAAGCATGACCCACTGAAATATTGGAGACTGAAAAGCAATGTCAACAGTCATTTGTCAATACAATATGTGAATCAATCAGAGTCACTATCTTGATCATTTTGACAAAACAAATTGTGTTTCCAAAGAAAGTACATGTGCAGACAACACGAAACTTTTGACTGCAGAAAATTTCACAAGCCGTTATCAAACTCATGTCACTGAAGTGATAAAGGACATGTACGACAACTGAATGGTATCCTTTTTTGTACGTTTTTGGCCAGGGGTGGGTAGTTATTTTTTAATTGATATTTGAAGTTGGGTAATCAAATTTTTGTCTTTTTAACGGTTGGGTCAGCAAAATTCTTGATACGGAAACATTTCTCTTCGGTGCCACCCCCCGCCATAAGTAATGACCGGTCCCTTATATTAATCCCAAGTTTGTGAGCAATTTTTTTCTTCATCTCACTAGCAAATTTCTTACCTAAAAGCATTGGCTAAATTTATGCCAGACAGTGACAGCCAAAACCACCACTCAAAGCTCCAAGGACTAAAAAAATTTCAGATGGTGTTAACATATAATATAAGTGATCTAATTTATTTACTGGTAAATTGTAGATGAATGTAACAGTATAATATATTCAGCAATGAAAACCCTAACCTTTTATTGTAAGTCTGAAATTTGGCGACACAGAACACAGCGACCATGATATAGAACATAAGAATTGGGTCAAGTAAAATGTACTGCGATATTGTTAAGCAACCAGTGTCTACACAGAGGAAAAATATTACGTAATATATGAACAACGAGAGCGAGTGTTTCACCAGGATATCCAAACACGAGAAAACAATGTATGAAAACACGAGTGCGAAGCGCGAGTGTTTTCATACATTGTTTTCGAGTGTTTGGATATCCCGGTGAGACACGAGCTCGAGTTGTTTATATGGCTTCTCAAATGAATCGAGACGTAACAGAATGTTTTCGTTTGCTGATTTGAATAGAATTCTTAACCAAGCATAACGTAATTAGGAATTCTATTCAAGTAATTTTCCATGCGTAATTAAGATATTTGATGAAAACACTAGTGACGTTCATCAAGTATCCAAATGGCATCTTGTGATCAAATAGATGATTATCATTGGCTGAATTACTCATGAATTATTAATGAATTTGAGAAGTGTCAATCTCAAACTCATTAATAATTCATGAGTAAATTAGCCCGCAAACATTAAAGGAATACCGAATGGTTTTCCGTGCAGGATTGCGTGATCCATGCACGAGGGATGTCGCGAGACTTTCGGAAAGCGTAAAAATACTCGAGCCGCAGGCGAGTGCATTTTTTCGCTTTCCGAAAGACGAGCAACATCCCAAGTGTATGGATCACGCTATCCTAAAATAACTACAGTCTGTGAAACAAAGACATTTTGAGAATCCCTCAAAAATCCCGCGAAGGCAATTTAATTCCTCGTGCAGGATAGCCTGATCCTGCACGGCTATTGACCAATCAAATTGCGTGTTTCACTGTAGTTATTATATACATAATATTACTTTATTTTGCTCACATGATGATACTGCATGGATACCTGGTGAAGTATATTTGTCCAGTCCTAGGACTGGATCAAAATTAAATCAGTCCATGGACTCCTCGGAATCGCCTCGGACAGAACTAATGGACCTTTCCCCTTATAACTAAAATTTCGATCTAGACAAAAAATTCATCACAGCTTGAAAGAGCATCACAAAATTAGTAATATTCCAAAGTTTCGTTGCGAAATGTTGTAAAATGCGGATAATATAGCCATGCGAAGTTTGCCGTTTTTCAGTCATTTTGTATTACGCACGGGAAATTGACATCCGATTCGGGTGTTGGGCTGCAATTTCCCGTTTGTAATGCAAAATGACTGAAAATTGCAAACTTCGCAAGGCTCTATTTTCCTCATTTTACAACAATTCGCAACGAAACTTTGGAATATTACTAATTTTGTGATGCTCTTTCAAGCTGTGATGAAATATTTGTCTAGACTTGCCTAGATCAAAATTTTGGTTATAAGGGGAAAGGTCTATTGCGCGGAATGGATACCTGGTAAATGCCTCAGGCTGTAGCATTTACTTGTACAATATGATACTGTAGTCTCTAAATCCTCTGTTCGTGGTTGACAAGACGTAGTGGTTAAAAATAATTGTAAAAATTGTAAAACAAGTGGATTCAAAACCGATACATTATAACAGGGGTCGAAATTAAAGCTAAATCCGTATATAGTGGTAATATCATGCCTAACGGAATTGGAAACTTCATGATCTCATGCAGTATTCCATTTGTATAGTTATTTAGAAAAAATTGTGGTTTAATGCATCAATTTATAATATCACTGGTACGTTATTGAGGATAATATGATTTTGTACTTGAGTTTTCGCATGTACATTTGATTGATTCTTGTTGTATAAATAAAATGTTTAATTGCTATGTTTGTTTGCTGATCTGCATTCCTGAGATCTTGCGGCTTACAGTACGTCACAATTGTCAGAGTCTGTGAACAGGATCTTACAGACACAGAAAGAATATTGGATCTTCAGACGGAACAGTAAATTTCAAAATCTACTATTCCGGTTGTATAGTAAAAGCAAATGTAATTTTCGACCCCTGCATATGAAATGTCATTCTGTGATGTAGAAAATATTGCGTTGCAAAATATTGCGTGAAAACTTTGACTTGCAAAACTCTTACAGCAGCATACTTCTGAAACGCGGTCACTGACGCTGACAGGGTATTGAAACACAAACTTCTTAAAATTGTATAAAATGCTTTTTTTTTTAAAGTGCAGACTTGCAGCAGGGCTGCAAAATATAGCGGACCACAGGATCATTGGTCCCAAATGTGACTGTAGAACTCATAAAATTTTAGATACGATAAGATTTGCTGTCCTTTGCTTGCAGAAATTGTTTTTGTTGGCCTTGCGGTCCCAGAAAATAATTATTTTGCAGCCCTGACTTGCAGAATGCTTCTTGGCATATTATTCAACAATGAAAATTAAAGCCCATGCATGCAGCAAAAGACATTTTATATTTTTGTTATGTCTTGTCTGAAAGTCATTTGCTGGCCTTTAATTTCCATTTATATTGTATACATACCAAACAAAATAAAACAAGACGAAATAAGTGAAGCAGTGGTTGAACGTGTCCACTCCCAGACAATGAGATATGCCAATGGTACGCACAACGAACCCATTAAAGCACAAAGCTAAAAAATATTAAATTGTTTTAAGGGATCGTCTATTATTATCAACATTTTCACAAGCATATACAAACCATAAACTGCAGGGGGGCGGAGTAAATGAGTGATGTACGCTTTTTAAAATGCTCATCAGACTCATCATCATCATTCCTGAGATTCAACGTTTAAGAGTATCCTCAGGCAGGGGTAGCTTGAATTTCAGATGGCCAGTTATTGAGATGAAAAGGGAGGAGGTGCTTAGAAGTGGAAAAGTGGGAAAACGAAAATGTAAAAGAAGCAGACCACATGGCATATAATTTTACGCGATATCCGGTTCTCATTGTGTTCTTAACTTCCTCGAAATTAATTTGTACAACTAAGGGACCGGTCATTATTTAAGGCGGGGGGTGGCACCGAAGAGAAAAGGGTTGGGTGATCAAAATTTTGAGTAAGTAAAAGGTTGGGGAAATAAAAAACAAAACAACTCAAGGGTTGGGTAATAAAAAATTATTGTCATTTCCAAAGCATGACTCACTTAAATAGTGGAGACTGAAAAGCAATGTCAACAGTCATATGTAAATACAATATGTGAATCAATCAGAGTCACTATCTTGATCATTTTCCGATTTGCTGGGAGACAGATGGTGTCTCCAAAGAAAGTACATGTGCAGACAACATGAAACTTTAGACTGCAGAAAATTGCACAATCCGTTATCAAACTCGTGTCACAGAAGTGGTATTAAAAAGGATATGTGTGACAACTGAATGGTATCCTTTTGTAAAGGTTTTGGCCAGGGGTGGGTATTTATTTTTTAATTGATATTCGAGGTTGGGTAATCAAATTTTTGACTTTTTAATGGTTGGGTCAGCAATTTTTTTGCCAGGAAAAACATTTCTCTTCGGTGCCACCCCCCACCATAAATAATGACCCGTCCCTAAACTATTTATTTATAATGATCACACTGTACCCCTCGGTTTCAAGCTAATAAGGAAGTAGAAAAGTTGGAAAACGAAAATGTAAAAGAAGTGGACCACTGATATGGCACATAATTTTACGCGATCTCCGGTTCTCATTGTGTTCTTAACTTCCTTGAAATTAGTTTGTACAAGTAAACTATCCAAATTACTGGACTATTAATGTCTTTAAAATAATTATTTTACTGATGGCGTTTATGTGGTGGGCAAAGCTGTGCATAATCTTATGTACATCAGGTGAGAAAATGTTTATAATTTGTTGAGGCATGCATGGAATAACAAAAGTCATAAAATGGATTAGTTTAACCAAACGAATGTCATTATTGTAACGAAATTGTTTCTACAAATATGCAAGGCTTGACCATGGCTGTTGATACAATGATATCATTGCGTAGAATTCCCAATGTAGAGCGGTGAACAATTTTTCTTAAGAGAGGGTGTATGGCACGCTCGCTTAATCAATTTCAAAACCACATCTTACGCTCTGCGCATGCAGCTATCAACGATTGTTAGGGATTTTAAGACCATTCCAGAAATCAGTGAGGTTCACTCATAGGCATAGCATTCGGTCGAAGCGCTTATCCAGCTATACAAAAGCAGTAAAATAGTATACCACGCTTTTGTAACCTGAAAACCACATGATCCAATCGTTCTTTATAATTTGAGGTTATTCCCATGTTTCTATTCCAGATACAATTTAATTTTCTGGCGATGGTACCCTTTTTAGACTCTTTCAAGCTTTTGATGCACTTGACGTTTGTATATAGCTTGACCTAATATGACTGCGAATTCAACACAATGTTGTAATATTTTATAGGTAAACATCCTCACAATGTTATAATATTATGTTATAATATAATGTTATAATATAATGTTATAATATTATAATGTTATAATGTTGCCTGAAGTGCAACACATCGCGCAATCTAATCGATGCCGATCCCTGTTGCTACTAGACTAATTAGTTGGGGTTTTTTTCGTCTGTAATTTGTCACTAATTTTAACTATAATTGTGGTGTCCCCGCCTCTTTTTATGTCTCATGTATATGAATTGTTGTACTTGTATTGTGCACGTTTTTTGTCAAGGCGAAGCTAAATAAATAAATAAATAAATAAACATTTTAGGTAAAATTCCTCTTTGATTTTGAGCCCCAATCACAAACAAACCTATACCCTTAATCCTAACATTTTTTGTGCAACAAACATGGGGATATAACCATATAGTTTAGAACCAGAGATAGATGCCAAAGTCATCTAACGCTCGCCTGTATGTAGTTACTCAGTCAAAGGTTTAAAGCGCAAGAATTGCCCCATTAAAGCGTAAGACTCTGCCCTAGCTTGACGAGTATAAAACCATCAGGCGTTAGACAGAGTAAAATGATAAAGTAGGGCGCACATTTCAACTTAGTGGGTTAAAATTAGCTAAGTTGAACCAATGCCATGGCTGTTTATGTATAAGGGGTCATCAAACCTGTTAATAATAACACAACTGATGAATAATATCAGTGATCCATTGGGTGAGCCATGCAGACTTTAATTTTAATAATCTGTCAAAATTCATATTTGGAGTTCGTGGTATGTACAATAGAAGATTCATGCAGTTGTTATCCTAAACTTTAAATAACTACAACAACTTTTCAGAAACCATAAAAATCGAAAAAATCAACAAAGATTATAAGTCAGACTTAAGGGGTTAGCCTTTACTTTTTGTCTATTTCCCAGCAAAATTTCCGAAAATCGACGAAATTAAGTAAGGGGTTAGTTAAGAAACCGAGTTTTATTCACGCTTGAGGATTTTGAAAAAGGTGGCAAAAATTCGACGAAACGCGTTAAGGGCTTGGGTTAGTCTTGAGTCTCTGTCACACTTAAAAGTGGCATTGGACCTTTAACCTTGTAACTAAAATTTTGATCTAGACAAAAATTTCATCACAGCTTGAAAGAGCATCACAAAATTAGTGATATTCCGAAGTTTCGTTGCGAAATGTTGTAAAATATTACTAATATTGTGATGCACTTTCAAGCTGTGATGAAATTTTTGTCTAGACTTGTCTAGATCAAAATTTTAGTTATAAGGTTAAAGGTCCATTAAAACCTTATAAGGGTTAGCCTAGATTTGCCACAAGTGCGCGTTTTTCCCTAGCTTATTTTATATACCCTTATTATAGCCTTATCTTTTGGTCGTTCGTGGCCACCTTACTTTTCAAAAACATCGAATTGCGGCGAAAATTTAAGGTGCGAGCTTTTGTTTTTATCCTATCACATGAAACAATCGATTTTGGCCAGTTTTAATAAAAGAATAGAACGACAAAAGTGGTAAAAATCGAGAAAAAACAAAGGCTTACCCATAACACTTTTTTTGGAAGTTAAGGTTTAAGTTAAAGATGGATGGATCCTCTATAATTAATTTAAAGACACAGTTTCATCGGGAAGGCTGATTGCAATAGACAGTTCTCGAAATGAAAACTACTTATTTAGAATGATTACATTGTCCGCCTCGATTTCAAGCTATTGTATCGTGTACACCCAAGCAAATTCTGGGAAAGTCGATTGTCTAATAAGGAAGACAATCAATAAGGAAGACACTATAATTAGGAAGAGAAAAACAAAAATCAGGGCGCGAAATAACGGCCGGTCAACGGACAATGTCCGGCCAGAATGCGGAGTTGTCAGGTCAAATTCTTACCTTGCCGGTCATTTTGACCGGTCACTTTCGGTAAAAGAACAAACTAATCTTCATTTTATAATAATGATCAAAATAAAGTGGTCAAGTACAGTATTATAATTAAGAACCATAACATGCATGTTGTCGAATATTTTGCAGGAAAACAACTTCAATGTACACCAGATTTCGCATGCAGTACGTCACAAAGCCCATGGGCCATGGCCATGCCTTTGGCTTAAGAGCTAAGACCATGCTTTTAGCCCAGTACAAGCCGTTTTATGTGAAGGAATTTTTAATTACTGATTACAGTAAGGCTTTTGTACTGCTATACTGGGAAAATGGTCACATTTTTAGAGGTATACTTTACTAGGCTTTGCATTAAGCTGAATAATTTGACCGGCCAGAAATTTGGTATGTCCGATCTAAAATTGAGTTGGCCGGTAACCTTGACCGCCGACCCTCCAGCCGTTATTTCGCGCCCTGAAAATGTAAAAGACGCGGACCATGCATATATGGCATATAATTTTATGTGATCTCCGGTTCTCCTTGCGTTCTTAACTTCCTTCGCTTGAAATTAGTTTGCACAAATAATTACTATCTATCAATTATACGCGTATCAGCCTATGAGCCTAGTCCCCAGGCCTCTCGGTACGTCTTAGTTGACGTCACGGAAAATAATAGGCGTAGGGACAAGTTGGGAGAAACATATTGATTCTGTATGCCATAAGATTAGCGCTGGAATAGGAGCAATTAAAAGAATAAAACCTTATGTTCCACACAAAACCTTACATGATGTCTACAAAACATTAATTCAGCCTCATTTTGATTACTGTTCTCCCCTGTGGGATAACTGTGGTTTGGGACTTCAAGACAAATTGCAAAAATTCCAAAATCGAGCAGCAAGGGTGATTACCGGAGCTGACTACGATGTAAGATCGTCTGAAGTCCTAAACAAATTAGGCTGGGAAACCCTGGCTAGGAGACGAGAACAAAACAAGCTAGTATTGATGTATAAAGTCTTGGGGAACCACACTGCGCCAAACCTTAAAGATCTTTTTTCTCGGAGAAATGCATCGCAGAATATTTATGATTTACGCAATAGCGAAACTGATCTCTCGTTAAAAAAACCGAAAACGGAATTTCTAAAGAAAACATTTGGATACAGTGGAGCAATTCTATGGAATAGTCTGCCGCAAGATGTCAAGGCGGCTGAGTCAATTACGTCATTTAAAACAATGGCGAAATTGCATTTAAGCAGATGATAAGCTAATTTCTCCAGGACCAAATGATGGGAGGACAATATAGATTGTGGGCGGGAGGGGGGTTAGTTTTGCGTGAGGGTGGGTGGGTACTTGTTTAGGGGGTGGAGGTTTGGGAGGAAGATGATAATATTTTAGGGTGGGATTCTTACATATTTTGTTCTATATATAATTAACATTTAGCTCTTTGTGTGTATACGCCCTTCGTGGAAACCAGTTGTAAATAATTGTCGAAGTTAGCGTATTGAAATAAAGTTTTACATTACATTACATTACTAGTCTGTACGCCTACGAGTCTGTAGAGGCACTGAGGCCAGATTTTCATGTTCATAGTTTCTAGTTGGTTCTTCACCAGTAGCGTCCAAGTTTTGAAATCAGTCTGCAGGTGCAGTCCATTGTTGGTAGTAGATTTCTTTGTACTCAATTTTAGTCATGTTTATTTTTCCTAGCTTCTTCTGTACTGTCAGAACAAGGAATTTACGTATCTCGTCTCAATGGTAATGATAGGAAAACATGTGGAAAACTAAATTCTCCGTGTCGTACAATATCTTCTGGCATACAAAAAGTGACAGCTGGATCATATATCTACCTGGATGGATCAGCTACATCAAGAAATCCTTACACGTGCGAAGCCTTTGACCAAGGACATCCGGGAATTTATCTTACTAAGAGCGTATCATTCGTAAGTATAAGATCACGTGCTTATATCTCGTGTCTACATGGCAACCCGTGGTTGGTGGACGGAACTAAATTCAAAGACGGTGTACGAATTAGCTTTTCCGGTCTGATTTTTCTGAATACGTCTCTACGCCTTTTCGATGCTTTTGTGGCAGTCATTGATACTGTATTTGCGGAAACCAAACTTGTAAGCTTAGATATTGAACTATATAATCTGCCTCGGTTGGATTTATCGTTGAAAAATGTTGTCTTCCAACAAAATGCAGCGTGCATGACAATAAAACCTAGTAGTAGTAAGGGCAGCAAGATTTTTGTTAACATAACGAATACGCTTTTCTATCAAAATGGCAATTTCTCTTTGGACACACCGTCTATTCTTTGGTTAAATTCCACAGAAAATTTGATCAACATTCAATTAAAGAACAGCAGTTTTAAGAAGAACACTTTTAAGAAATATGGCATGATTGTAGTTGTAAACCAATTAGGAACCACAAACTTTTTCCTGAATCAATTCAGAATGGAAGAAAATAGCAATACAAATCCAAGTATTGAAGAATATGACGGCTTAATTCTTCTCCAATCTGCTTGGGTATTTATAAGATTGGAGTACGGGTTTGTTTATAAAACATCTTCTACTTTTCTAACTGTGGTCGGGTACTCAGCGCAAATCAACATTTCAAACATTCAGGTGGACGGATTCCACTCAGTCACTCGTGGCGGTGGCGTAGTAAACCTATTTCAAAGTGATTCATGTAACTTATTAATCAATGATTCCTCTTTTCGTAATGGAAACAACAATGGTACAGGCGGAGTTGTTTCAATTACTGCGCCATATTCCGCGCTAACCATTCAAAACTCGACCGTTCAGAATATTTCCAATTTTGCAGGTTTCACAGTGTATATTAAATCACAACGGAACGCATATTTTCAATCGTCGAATCATTTGAAAATATTCCTTGTTCATCTACGCATAATCAATTCTTCGTTTTCATATACGAAGGGTGGTGCAGTTGTGGTATTAGCTGAAAACTTACTGGCGACTGTCAGTGATAGTTCGTTTCTACGAAATACTGCTGCATCTTGTGGTGGCGTGCTGTGTATCTCTACGATCGATGCTGCTGCACTCAACCTTCACAATGTTTATTTCCTAGAAAGTAGTGCTGATAAAGCAATTGTTAAAGCAGTAGTTCACAAAGGGTCTTCTACATTCATTCTTTCTATGACTAACGTTATATTCGTCGAGAACAAGTTACGCGCATGTTCGCAAAGACAATGCGGCATTGTTTTACTCTCGGTTCAAAGTACTAAAATCATTGTCGGTTTTAAAAATACGCGTTTCATTGGGAACTTAGCGAAGCAAGGTAGCTGTATTTGCCTAGATTCTAGTCAATCCACGTTACAGATCGTGACTCTAGATACCTGCATATTTAGAGAAAATATTGGGAATGGTGGAACGGTAGGCCTATATGTGGCAGGACGCGTTGCATTAACGTGCAAACACTCAATCTTCAATTCAAATAGGGGTAAATATTGTCTATTTGCCTTCAATTTAAACAATTCCACGATTTTCTTAAAGAACACGACGTTTGTCAACAATTTGTGTAGAGCACTTACGGTATACTACATTGGAACTTCAAGTCTAATTATATACGATTCTGCATTTGTCCGAAACAAGAATATAGCCGGTTCTGGAGCAGCTCTTGGAATAGTTTTCCAAGACAAAAGTTTCCCCAACCAAACCAGCAGGATTTTAAAAGCTTTTATTAAAAGAGTATTATTCCAAGAAAATATAGCGGTAACTGGAAGTGTTTTGTTTGTGTCACGCGGTGAAGTGATGTTAATGAAGTGTGCGTTTTTGAATAATTTTGCACGTTTTCAAGGCGGTCAGATTGTTAGCCTCGCGCCTAACTCTAGTCCTGATCTGGTTGTAGTTGATTCGGTGTTTAAACAAACAATTCAAAAAATCGTAATTATTAATAAACAGGAATTCATGGTCACTTCGTTCCTAAAGTTATACAACGCTGGTATACTATCTATTTACAACACAACATTCAACCGGGACAAAAAATCGGATGAACCACTCATTCTGGTCTCCAGAGCATATTGGATATCATTTGACAATACCTCGATGAGTACTTGCCAAGTGGGTCATGCCATTGAAAAGACTACTTATTTTTACGTCGGCAGTAAATTTCTTGTCTCTCTTACATTGTCCTGTAAAGCATGTGACTACAATTTCTACTCTCTGCAAAGAGGAACAGCAAGAGGACTAAATGTAGACGATAGTTTCGAATGCACACCATGTCCGCACGGAGCAGACTGTGTTCCAGCCATCAAGTCAAAGTTCAATTTTTGGGGATACCAAACTAGTTCGAATCCTCCTAAACTAGGCTTCACAATTTGTCCGTTTGGTTACTGCAAGTCACCGCCAGCTAACAGTAGTAAATACAATGACTGCCAAGGAAAACGTACGGGAGTTATGTGTGGGGTTTGTTCTCAAGGCTATACAGAAGCGCTGTGGTCAACGTACTGTACACCAGTCAAAGACTGCCATGATCATTGGTTTTGGATTCTGTTTCTATTACTTGTTTTTTCTATGGCTGTTCTTCTTGTTTTCAATCCTCCGTTCGTAACGTATTCTTTAAAACAGATATTTTGGTTTAAAAGGTTTGTAGGCAGTCGTACAGCAAACATTCAAGCCAATCATGACATAATTCGCTCCCTCTCAGTGGACGAAGAGACCGGACAGGAAAACATACCGTTGTCTTCAACAGAGCAGCTCAAACACGACAAAAGACAATTTTCCCGCTTTGTGGAGATTATCTTCTACTTCTATCAAATCGCACAATTACTTCTTTCCACGAGTTCTCTGACAGAATTTTTTCACACCCAACTCCTTGTACCTGTTCTGGGCTACTTCAATTTCCAACCAAGTTTTAAGAAACAAGGTTTTCTCTGTCCTTTTCCAGGTCTCACTCCAGAGACAAAGCTGGGTTTTAAAATTGCTCCTGTCTTCGGAACTTTAGTTGCTATTTTCCTTATCTATGCCTTGCATTTCTTCATCAGTCGTATGAGAGGCGCTCTTCGTCCTGCTATTTCTCCATACCTCCAAGGCAGTATTAAAACTATATTTCTTGGCTACGTAACTCTGGCTACTGTCAGTATTTCGCTCATTCGCTGTGTTTTTGTTGCAGGCGAAGCTCGATGGTTCTACAATGGAAATGTCTTATGCTACCAATGGTGGCAATATGCGTCATTCACTTTTAATGCTATCTTTGTGATTCCTTTTATATTTTCGCTTGCTTGGATTTCGTTCAAACTTCACCATGATAAAATAACAATCCAACAGTTTCTTCTAGCCATTATCTGTCCTCTTCCATTCTTATTGCTATGGCTGTTCCGCCTTGTTTGTCCATCTCCAGTAGTGAGTGTAGAAGAAAACCAAAATTTAGACGCATTAAAAGAGATGCTCTTGGCTCCTTACAGACAGCCGAAAGGTGCAAGCAAGCGAGGGGCTTTATATTGGCAGAGTGTCTTGATTGCTCGTCGATTTATTTTGGTTTTAATCTTCTGTGTCGTAACAGAACCATCTATCAGATTATTCTGCATGACTCTTACTTGTGTTTTTGTGCTTTGCTGTCATCTGAAGGTTAAACCATTTCAAAATTCGTTAGCGAACAATCTCGAGTCTCTTTCTTTGTTGTTTTTGGTCATTTTAGGCTTGATCAACCAGTTTAAGTCTGTTTTCGTTGGTTCCGAACAAAATATCAAGGGTTCTTTAGTAACGGTTTTGAAAGTGTTTCAATGGCTAGAGATTGTTATGTTAGGACTATTTCCAGCTATTCTTTCGCTTCTTGTATGCTTTGCTATCATTTCTGTTTTTGTTCGTGTTCTCTTCATGTGCTTCAGGTCGATTTTTAAATGTTTGTTCAGACCTTGCGCCCAGAGACGGTTGTCACGTACCCGTTTGTTAAATGTTTGTGACAATATCGACGATGAATAGTAAAACCTTCATATAACTAAAGTGTGAGTTACAAGATCAAAACTAAAGTGTGAGTTACAAGATGAGGAAAATAAAAACTATTAATACAATGTACTTTAATTTGGGGAAAATAAGATTAGGACATTATTCAGTGTTAAAGTGTCTATTAAATATGTCGGAACATTTTTTGTGTGCAAGTTATATAATGATGTATCATAACACTTTAATAAATCATCGTCATTTAATTGGCTGATTATGATCATGTGGTATTGAGTAGAAGTCCCATTCCACTGACCATCATTACATTCAACCTTGCTTGTTGGACTGTTTTGAGTATGTATGTCTGTATATGTTATAGACGGATTTTCTGGGGGGGGGAGGGGTGCACACCCCAAAAATATTTTGCATCCCCTCAGAACGTTTCCCCACCGCACCTGGAGAAATTTGCACACACACCCGTCCAGAAATTTAAATGCTCATTGGATTAAATGACAGTAGTGTGATTGAACTAAATAACTGAATTTTGAACTAAATAAGACTAAACACAAGAACTTTGAACTAAATAAGAATAGTTAGTATTCATTAATACTGTACTACTATCAGTAGTAGCAATAGAAAAAAAAATCTCAAGAACGTCAGTGAGTACAAAACACAAACCAAACTTTTGATCTCAACAAGTCTAGACAAAATTTCATCATAGCATGAAAGAGTATCACAAAATTAGTAATATTCCAAAGTTTCGTTGCGAAATGTTGTGAAATGCGGATAATATAGCCTTGCGAAGTTTGTAATTTTCACTGAGTCATTTTGTATTACGCACAGAAGTGGCAACCATTTCCCGTTTGTAATGTAAAATGACTGAAAATTGCAAACTTCGCAATGCTATATTATCTACATTTTACAACATTTTGCAACGAAAAACTTTGGAATATTACTAATTTTGTGATTTTGTGAAATTTTTGTCTAGACTTGTTGAGTTCAAAATTTTGGTTAATTGGGGAATGGTCCATTACAACTGATTTTTGGAACGCTTGCAAAATCATTTACCTATATAGCCACAAAGACGTTATTCACAATACACGCACTTGATTTAAAATTACATTACACACAAGCTTCGCTTTTTATGTCGCGTATTTGCCATGAAAAGTGTTTTATTCTCTAGTTTATACAGTTAGCTCCCTTTTTAAATGCATTTGCCGGTTGAGAAACATAAAATAATAGTAAAAAAATTGTCAATTAAAATACAATTAACAATGATGCTTAGGGGTGCACCGGATTTGGAATTTTCAAATCCGGCCGGCGGCCGGAACCGGATTTACCGGATTCGGACAAAAATTCCGGCCGGATTTGAGATAAACCGGTAATGGGGATAAATTGAGATAATTCAATATTCAAAATGGCGGTTTATGTTTTTTACTATTTTTAGTTAGTGTCAGTTTAGATTTTTTATTGTGTTTAAACCTTTTTTAAATATCTTCTTGCTAATAACTTAATATTTTATAATAATATTAAGTGTTTTTTAAACTTTAAAGCTGCCAAATTGATGGTTTATCCCATTCTTGGTGAATATTTTAAGGTGAAAAGAGAAATTTAAATCCGGCCGGATTTTCTCCAAATCCGGCCGGATGCCGGATACCGGAAAATTCGTTAAATCCGGCCGGATTTGAAATCCGGTGCACCCCTAATGATGCTTTAATATACTGACGCCATAGCTAATCCGTTCCGCATTTTAACCCATATCCGTTGCATTCCGCATTTTAACCCCATATCCGTTCCGTTCCGCATTTTAACCCCATCCGTTCCGTTTCGCATTTTAACCCCATCCGTTCCGTTCCCCATCCGCTTCCGCATTTTAACCTAACCCATATTTATTGCAATATAAGCAAAACGCGCTGAACTTCAGACATTATTTTCTCTTTGGCGTATCATCTAAAATGTCTTCATTTTAGCATTATTTTACTGATAAAGCACTGAAACTTTTTAAGTTTGTTTGCCGATTGAGAAACGTAATCGAAAAATAAAAAAATTGAATGTAGACATGTAGTCATAACCGCAAGTGGTATATCGTATAATTCATTAGTTTTGAGCGCATGTTACGTAACATACAAAAAAATCTCCTCTTAAAACAGATAATTGAATGAATAAACTCTATTACAAATAATTAGCAAAGTTATTATATTGTTGAGATCAATTTTTTAAAAGATTATATAGTTGCCGACTCTTCAAGGTCTGCGAGCAAACCATTCCAAACCACCGCTCCCCTCTACTGTAGTTTAACAATTTTTTTCTTAAAATGTGTGTTTAGTTTAGGTGGTAGCGGGGAACCTGGTCAATACTTTTGTTTAGGAACCATATTGTGCCCAACCTAAACCTTGATTATCTCATCTATATACCAGGACATATTGATGATTTGATGGACCCGAATTAACTGGGTGTAATCCCTGGTGAGATCCTTACCTATGACCATACTGTATATATTCAGTTAGTTCTTGGCATTGAGGCTTAACCTATTTGTCGACGTCCATTTGGAAATATTTGATAATTTTTAATTTAGTGCATTCGTAGTGTAGTTTATTTCATTGCTTGACACATCAATTTTAAAAGTAAAGTTTAAGATTAAGGATGGATGGAATGATGGATCCTCTATGATTTCATCAGGAAGACTGATGGCAATAGAAATGTGTACAAGTTTAAACTACTTATTTAAAATGATCGCATTGTACCCCTCAGTTTTAAGCTAATAATTTCGTGAAAATTTTGATAATTATGAGTGAAAAAAATACTTTCTGTGTGTTTGTGAAAATTTTGATGACCCTAAGACCAAATGTGTATGTCTCAGCATATTCTTAGAAGTCATGCATGTGAATCAACCAAACGACATTATGTTATACTTATTTGTTAAACATATGACATTTAATTGATTTAAATGTACACATGTACATTTAAATGTATACATCCAGTCTCTCTTAACTGAAGTTTTGATTTATTTTTGGATAGACAAGCAATATAATCATTAAGTTTAAGTGGTGGATGTTACAAGTCCTTCCCATGTCATTATTAGGTGAAATATAGTGGTGGGCAGCACAAAGGCAGACTTCATGCAGCAAAGCACCTACTGTAAAATTTACGAAATTACACAATACTGTACCATTCTCATTCCAGTATAATTAACATCACCATATTGGTCTCCTGGTTTGTCAAATGGAAAATCTCCATTGTATCCTGTAAGTAACCCTGCCGCAGCAATTGTCATCTGGAAAACACAAACCAAATCAGAATGTCATAATTAATCAAAATCATGCCATGAGTCATGATCCAGGGTGTCCACCCTTTGGTGAAGGTGAAATTCAAGGACTTTTCCAGGACTGTCAAGGCCCTTATTCAGTAAATTCAAGGACCTAGAACTAGGAAAAATCTTTGAAAATGGCACAGATTTGCCATAAATAATTCACTTTATTCTGAATCAGTAATTTTAATCAAAATCACTAAGTTGGCATAGCTGGAGGTTAAGGAAATTAATTCCAGGACTTTCAAGAACTTCTACTGATTTTCCAATTCAAGGACTTTCCAGGATTTTCAAGGCCCGTGGACACCCTGATGATCGCTCAATAATTGATACCATAATCATGGGGGAGGTCGCCAAAACAAATTCCGGGAAAAATTCGGAAAGGTCGGGCAAATTTCTTTCCGCCCCCCTAAATTTTTCCTTCCGGTACGCCCATGACCATAATTCAGTAGATTTGCTGGGGTTATGCCACCTCCCTTTGAATCTCAAGTAACTTGCAGATAAATTAGAAATAACCTTGAAGCCTAGCAGGTCGCATAAAATATATTCCTTGATTCTCATCACCGTGTGAATATATTTTTTTATATTTCGCTTTACAAGAATTAATAAATATATTGCCCGAGAAAATATTTCAAGACAGTCAGGTTTTTCATATTTTATACTGTCTGGGTTTTTAGTGTCGTTTTATTGTCGATTTCAACAAACTTGGGAATGTACGGATCCCAAGTTTGTTGCAAACTTGCCAATTACGTTTCTAAGTTCAAAAATTGGGTGTGAACTTCGCAACAAAGTTTCATTACATTTCAATGTTTGAACTATTGTAAACAAATGTTCATAGTTCAAGTTGAAATTAACAATTCAATGGAAAGTTCTTGGTCCAGTGGGCTACCAAAAAGGTTTGTATTTTATTGAATTGGTTGTTATTACTGAGTTTGAATATTTGTTTACAAATGAAGTTCAAACACTGAAATGAACTTGCAAACTTTGTTGCAATGTTCGCAACAAACTTGGGAACCGTGCATTGAAAAGTGATTTGAAATAAAAAATAAACTGCCAATTTCAAACACACAAGACCTCGAAAGAAATTTTATTGCATTAGACTTGGCATGGGACAGTCAAAATGTCTGTGCAGGATACCCCGATTGCCGAATGTAATAATCCACACTGACAACTACTGTAGCCACTAGGATTTTTTTGTTTCATTAAGAACTTTTGAGTTTTGATTGACAGTGATTGTGGTGGGCTAACAATCAGTTCAGTATTTTTACCTTAGCAAGAGGTGGGTGGACATCAAAGAAGAACTGTCCAGTGATATAAAAATTTGCATGCTTTCCAAAATGAGTCTCGTCCCAACTACAAATTAAAAACAATAAATATTGAACAATTTAAAAATTTGAAAATGGCAATGGATTTCAAGGCAACTTCCAGTCTTTGATGAAGCAAAAGACAGCCAGGGAAGACTTGAAAAAAACCCACAACTGTCACAACATATTCCAAATTCGAGGTTTTGAAATTTAAAATAATCATATGCTAATCCTTCGATTGGATTGAGTTCTATCCCAAAGCTGGAATAGAGTTACAACATAACTTAGTTTATTAAGGGCCTGATTACATGGAGAGTTTTCAGCCCGGGCTGAGTTTCAGCCCGGTTAAACGAGCTGAAATTTCATCACGATTACATGAGCAATTTCAACCCGGGCTGAGTTTAGTCAGAGCTATATTTATCATCAACCCGGGCTGAAATGTCAGCCCGGGCTGAAATGTCAGCCCGGGCTGAAATAATCTGAGTGTCACAAAATAGGTCAATAAAGCGTGTTACGCTTCTTTGAAGCAATCAGACACTGATTAGTCCAGTACTTGACTTGTGTGAGACTGTGGTGATATGTAAAGTATTTAAAAATTAAACAAACACGCAAAATAAAGGCATTTAAACGGTTGTTTTTTAGGCCGGGCTGAAATTATTTGCGATTACATGCATGCCGAGCTGAGTTTCAGCCCGGGCTGAAATTTCAACCCGGGTAGCTCATTAACCGGACTGAAATTTCAGCCCGGGCTGAAACTCAGCCCGGGCTGGAATTTTGGTCATGTAATCGCTTGCTGTGTTTTACTAGGATTTTATCCTTAGGCCGGGCTAAAATTTCAGCCCGGGAAACCGGGCTGAAACTCAGCCCGGGCTAAAAACTCTCCATGTAATCAGCCCCTAAAGCTTGCTTTTAGGATGTTCCCATTTATCTACTTATGTTTTCAACTACTGCCAAGCCTCTCATTATAGAATGTCTCTAATATGGGTACCCTACTAATATGGGCACCTCTTTAATATGGACATCCCCCTAATATGTGCACGGTGCACCTCTTTAATACAGACACCTCTTTATTACAGACATCCCTTAGCTTTACTACAGACATCTCTCTAATATGGGCACCTCTCTATTGCAGACACCTCTATAATATGGGTATTTCTCTAATATGGACACCTCTCTAATATAGACCCATTGCACATGACGTCACAGCGCCGGTGATGATGCATCTGGAGGACAAATTAGCAATCTATGCATCATATAACTTTTGTAAACAAAGCAAATTTTGTAAAACTTTATAATAATTTTGTATTAAAATGGTTAATTTTTGCGCTGTATGCGGTTGTTGTACCCGAACATATATTGTTAGGGAGCATCTGGAGGACACTCTGAGGATTTGTGACGTCAGTGCAATGGGTCTATAGGCACCTCTCTAATACAGATACCTCTCTAATATAGACACCTCTCTCTCTAATGCAAACACATATCTAATATAGGCACCTCTCTACTATATAGACACCTCTCTAATATGGGCACCTCTCAATTATATGGACACCTCTCTAGTCTCTAATATAGGCACCTCTGTAATATAGACACCTCTCTAATATGGGCTCCTCTCTATTATATGGACATCTCTCTAATACAGACAGTATCTCCCTAATATGGGCACCTCTCTAAATACAGACATCTCTCTAATACAGACACCTCTCTAATATGTGCATACCTTTACAAACACCTTTCTAATATGGATATATCTCTCTAATATGAACAGTTTCCAATAGGTTAATTTGGGGCGCTGTGTAATAGGTTGTTGTGGCATATCAATATACCGAGCAAACCTGTAGTAGTCGATATTGCATTGCATCATTCCAGAACAGATTCACTCACGTTACAAATGAAAAATTCTGACCTCCGGATGGGGAGGATGGAAATCTACTTCTGATAATTGTAAAATGTAGCATGATGTCTCAAAGGTATAGGCTGAATGTTTTCTGGAATGATCCAATATCAGTTTGGTATTTTTGGTATTAACTAAGTCACTATTGCATTAGATAAATTTTCTTAGTTCAACTTAAAATTTGTAGAATAGAATTAGTAGCATTTTTGTTCTATAATGGCATTCATTTTTTGATAATTGATACCACCTGTAATATATGTAAAACACATATGTCATTATGCATGTGAACAACATAAATTTAGTGGCACTCTCTGGTGAAAACTACAAAAAGTCAGCAATTTTATTTTTATATTGTCCATTTTCAGTATTTTTTCAATATTACAAAAGAGTCTATCATTTTCATGGAAACCATGGAATGCTGAGTGCCAATATATAACCAAAGTAAAAATTGAAATGTGCAAGTCATACAGACATCATAATAAACGCGATGCAGGTGTGTGTCTTAAATTGCACCTGCAACATAATCCTATAAGTCGATTGTTTACAATATACACACTCCAATTTTTACATGGATAATATACATTTTCAATTCCCAAAAAAACAACAAACTAGAAACCCAGCTACAAGCCCATACTTACCAAATATGCTTGGGTTCATTTATTAAATACAATCTTGTTACCGAAGCAAAAATCACAACACTTAGGAACAGAGCAGTTCTTAAAACATGACTGGGCACTCGAACTCCAAACATATCATTCGACGTTTGTTTATATACGTATTGCAACTTTTGCGATACATAACCTTCCGTATTTTTCAATATTTTACTTGAACAGTCCATTGCCATACTGTTCGCTTTCTTTCCGTCCATTACTTTACAAAAACCCGGCAAATTTTGGTGAAAACATAAAAAGTACAACGAACACAACTGAAGAGTGAAGATAGCAAATGCTGTAAGAAACCGTTACTTCATGTTATAACATTGAAGTGTGCCATGGAAACTGAGGCGAGCATCTACGTGTTGACTCCTGATCTCGTAGCAACGAGGATGCTATTTACTTTTGTAAAATGGCACTAGTCGAAACAATTACTAGAAAGACTATCTTTCAAAGAAGTTTTTTTGTGGAAAAACGTTTGAATGGAAGGCAAAACCTACCCTCCTCCGCAGGCATCTCTATGGGTTTTAGCCTGCGAATGGGCAAAACTTAACCATTCCGGCTCTCACATAAAACGTGAGGCTATTAATAATTAACGGCACTGAATGGATTTCAATTAGTTTAGCCAATCAATCTGAGGCTAGCTAAACGTGATTGGCTAATCTGGACTTTCCAAATGCTCTTGACAAAAGTAGACCCTCTGAAAGTAGACAATATGCCTAACTACGACTTTTTGAATTCTCATCCGATGTTATCTGCATATATAATGAGCTACACAATAAATCGCCTGACAGCAAAGTCAGACAAACTTTATACGTATTTTTAAGCGTTTAATGCATTTTTTTAAGTGAATACACATATATTTGCTGGGCTGCTTATACTTTATAAACAAGAGTAGCGAAACATGACTGATATTACAGTAAACATGGTGGCTCATGTGAACGTCTAAACTTACCAAACGTGTTTTGGTTCTTTTAGATTATAATACCGAGTACTACACGTTAGAATTGTAACCATAATCAGCACCAAAACGCGTCCGAGACTAGTCCAGCCCATTTTGCATTTCTTCAGAACGTTTCTCACTTTTTCTCCCAAACCTTGTTCTCTTCCATTTTTTTCTTCGTTATTTTCTATCAAGTCTTTCTTTTCATTCTCTTCGCAATTCAACTGTTTTTCCCGCTCTTCATGAACTAAAATTTCCTGCCTTTTCTCAGCTTTTTCAATTTCTTTAGCGGCCCCGTTTTCATCTGAAGTATGATCCGAAACGGCTTTCGCTTTCTTTGCCTGTTTAGCGCTTACATTAGTCTTACGTGACTTTGTTTTTGTCATTTTTGTGAATTGAAGTTCAAATTTATGTCCACTGCGAACGCGTTTATGTACACAGCATATCCACGTTTTATTTTATAGTCTTTAAGCTTTTATGCCATGAATAGTATTTGCATGTAGATTTAGAAAGAAATTAACGCGTTGATTTATGTTCAACGTATGAATCGGGAAAATCTGTGACACGTGGAACACAGACTCCTAAATGCCATGTAACATTGTAAAAAACACCATGGCAATATTAATTGCTAATCACAACTCATGAATATCATTTTGTTACGAACATTTTGACCGGTTAAATGAAATACATATAACCTTATCGTCCTATAAATAAGAGTAATGACATCGATTTTAAGTAATATTTCAAATCCGAGTTAGTGTTTTAGACGTGGTTTCTAAATACAAGTGCCATGAACAATGGCGAGGCGCAGCCGAGCCATTGTTCATGGCACTGGGGATTTGGAAGCCAAGTTTAAAACACTAACGATCGAGGATGAATTTTGTTGGCAAAAGAGCATGGTATCTTCTTATAAAATAAGAAAAAGCGGTTTCGAGAACCAGAAAGTGTTAAGCACAGCATTGTGCACAGTATTGTCGCTCGGCTGGCAAGGTTGGGGATCCGAAAAACGATATATCAGATTGTGTGTGCGATAAGGCGCTATCTGGTGAAAAATGAAAGAGCCGAAGTGAATATATATTTTATAGACGGTAAACATTACTGGTAAGTTGCTGTATTATAGTGTTTAAAGCGCTATTTGTTATGATAGTTGGTAAAAAAGTTGGTTTTCCTATATTTATGTAGTTTTCAAACGTTTAGGAAAAGTGTTAGCTATAAAGTGTAGTTAGAATAAATTTCTAAATACAACTTACTGTATTTAGTATTTTAGAAATAATTCTAAACATAGCAATTAAATATATTTGCATAATCTTTTGTTTACGCCTCAATTTCCCTATTGTTCAAAGCCCTTCCCACTTGAAGTAATTAAAGTCCTGGTCTAGACGGGGTATCCAGATAGATACACGTGATGTAAATTAAACCATGTCATTGGCCGAAATGCTATGAATATCTAATGATGTATGAGAAATTTAATTTCAAGTTCTCCTCTGACATCCACAGCCACTCGCTCGAAACAAACAGAACATACATTTGGAACGCGTCAAGAAGAACTGGGGGAAGCAGGCATTCAGCTACCATGCTGCAAACGACTGGAATAGTCTGCCAAGGGAAATCCGGAATATACATCAAATTAAAACTTTTAAAACTAAACTAAAGGAACATTTAGCTACATAGCCATAGCACACTCTACCGAACCGACAGGATGCGCAAGAACTTTATGACTGTTCACATTGCTTTTTAGTCTCCAATATTTCAGTGAGTCATGCTTTGGAAATGACAATACATTTTTATTACCCAACCTTTGAGTTGTTTTGTTTTTCCTTTACCCAACCTTTTACTCATTCAAAATATTGTTTACCCAACCCTTTTCTCTTCGGTGCCAGT